TTAAAAGCCCGTGTGTTTCATCATTACATGAAAATATGCTCGAACACGCTCTCCGATGGATAAATGTCACCACCACAGAGACCAGAAGGAAGAAGCAAATCGACCTTTAATAAAACTATAATACCTTTTCCGTCCTCTTAACAAGAACAAAAGGCCTAAGAGATTTGTTATCCTTTCGAAAAGAAAGCTAACAATCATTAAAATTAGCCTACTATCTAAAAGAAAAATATCAAACATACCGATGCTGCGCCTACAAACTTCCTAGGGAACCTTGTCCCTGAAGGCATGCGTACAGACACACGTGGCGGCGCCACTGGTCTCCTTCGGAAAAAGAAACACCACCAACTCTTAACCATCAATGAAGAAAAGGGGTTACGAGCACTGCAGACAGATAACCGTAAAGCTGTCGTATCTGCCAACAAAGGTGGCGCAACCATCATAATGGAAAAGATCGACTACATCAACAAAGCTAGCCAATTCCTCAGTGGCAAGGAAGCTTAAACACCACTTGTTGAGGTCCCAATGAAAATATAGGTCGAAAATGTAAAGACAAAGCAGAATGAGTTGACAATTTTAGACTTTCAGTGGACCTCGTATCGCGTATTTCTTCTAATGGTGCAGAAAACCATTGAGGATTATAATATCTACTTAGAACCCTGCCATATTGTTATAAATTTCTTGAAGCATCTTACCGAGGGATCGCAATACAGCGTCAAAAATTCACAGAAGAAGATACAAGGCGACAAAGTAAGTCCACACACGACTTGGTGCCCCCCAGGACAATCCAGTGACGTAAACTCTGGCTCAAGAACCATTGTCAATCCGATTGAGAGTACTATCAGCAGATTAAGGGCATCACAATTGGCTCACAAATACTAAGTTCACCCGAATTTGAATACCATGTTTTCCGATTGACTACGTAAATAGACAACAGGAGATATCCCCCCGTTTCTGGAAGTGAGTATCCAAAAGCAGTGATATAGACTTGCGACGAGAGTGCAGTGAAAACGCACTAATGACGACAAAATCATTAACTATGAAAGCAACCATCATACATCCCATGAAAGATGCGTCCGAACCATTTTCCGCCTGAGCCTGCATTTATAATGGAGAAACAGTACCGCAGAAATTCTACTACTTGGCCTAAATGTGAGGATTGAGGCGATCAATTGGCAACTAAACCAGGTTGGCATCCCTATTACCCACAAGCCGACATCCTCTCTATGCGAAACAGTAAAAGAACGCATAAATGATTAACAGGAAACGATTGTCATTAATCGTATTAAATGTGCTGACCGGACTTGCGCTTCGTTCAGAGATTCAGGCCAACAACCAGGAACGTTATCCGCCGACATGACCCATTGTTTCTCGAGTTTGTGTACGGCCTTGAGTACAAACACTGCCTCAACTGTGGCAGAACAGATGCGGTCGTCGTGGCTAGCATCAAACAGGCACGTCAACTGTTCGGAGCTTGACACCCCAGT